ATCGGGAACTCCAAACCCGGAGCGATGTCAACATCTCCAACATCGGACGCAAACGATCGCCCGCCACCGAGTACGTTGAAGTCCAGAGGGTCAACAAGGAGGATATGGTGCTCCTGCAGCCAGTGGTGTCCAGGTGTGGCCACATTGAAGGTTGCCCCAACTTGCCCAAGGGGGAGGACTACAGCAAAGTGAAGGGGGTGGACTGTGATAACAGGCTACTGCTGCAGAGAGAGGGGACAGGGGAAGACGTGTGCCCTTGTTTGGACCAGGAGACAAATGGAGAAAGAGGAAACTGCTACACGTCCTCCACAGTTAGCACTACGCAGAAGCCTACAGCCTGCATGTACACTGCCATGCCACTACAGGAGGAAACGGCCCTCACATTGAATGGTTATGTTGACAGTGCCACAATGGGCAACCTGCCATCCTGCTAAAGGTCCCATAAGGTCAGGCACTGTGCCAGATTTGGTTCAGGCCAGGACAAAGACTATACACACTAAACACTGGATTACCTTTATTTATTTGATGAATAATACTCTTTATTCAACTTTATGAAGAATATGATTGATTGCATTAACTATGTGGTTTCTATATTCTGTCATGATTAAGTAGTTTGAATATGTCATACATATTGTTCTCCTGTCAGGCACGAAGCATTCACTTTTTTTTTATGTCTTTCATAAAATACTTGATCTACACTGCTGTAATCTCTCTGATTGAAGGATTTGTGGACAATCAAAATGTCAGAAATGTTTGTTTTTAATGTATATAATGTATTTTCTCTGCTTCCTGTAGGACACTTAAAATACATTTGGGGGCCTAAAGCGCCCCCTGGTGGTCAGAGTGAATCATATTGGAAATATAATCTGATAAAACTTATTTATAACAGTTTTGTCTTATCAAGTTGTCATTTTTTGCATCATGACGTTTTTTTCTAATCGTACATATTACTCGATAAATATTATATAAAATGGGATATAAGCCTATACAACTAAAAATATAAAACAGAACTTGAATCTTCACTTATTTGATTCAAAACAGCAAATAAAATCATAACAAAAACTCAACAAAGATAACGGCACATATTCCCTTGAAATGTGCTTGAAGACATTTGAAGTGTATAGCTTCTTTTGTGTATTTGTTATGCACATTTTCATCTTTAAATATCCATCTAATGTCCAAGAATTCTTCATGGCATCCATCATGCAGGTCCTGCCCACTATCACACAGGGGAACTGACATGCCTTTCTCCATGCTGGTGTAAAGATAATAAAAGGGCTGGAGTAGAAACTGTCATCTGTATATGGTCACCACAAACCAGGTCAGCCTTGTACTGCAGGGACATAAGATCATTAAAAGAGTCCTTTCCTGCTCACTCACTCAGTTTCACTGTATGTGGAAATGGAACATGAAAAAGGCTTTCACTCTCCACATGTCTCTGTTTTTGATAGGTTGAGAATTACCATGAACATCAGCACATACATTACTTTTATTAATTTGATAGATATGTATTTTATTAATATAATCTTGCTGGTTTCCTGACTCATTTTTAAATTCCTATACTTGTCCTGAGGCTGTGCTTCATTCTCACTGCTGTTGCTGCAAGGCACCTGCACACAGGTATGTCTGAATAGCTTGTTGCGCAATCTGTTTACTCGTGCGCAAAGACAATAGGACTGCTATCCAAATTACAGTTTATTTAGACTGTAGCCTACATTATCATAACATTGATAATTCCACAATGACATGACCTACTTGTCTTCGTCTATCACCTCTCCAAACTTTCTCTGGTCCTCAGAAAATCTAAACGTTGGTGCAGCAGAGTCGTCAGCATTCTCCTCCTAATCTTCGTCTTAAAGCATGAATTTAGAAGGACTTAGATTTATGAGTTGCCATATTTGATCTTATCCTGTCAAAATGATACACTTACATGAATCTTTGACAGGATACAGCATGTGCTTTTGTTTTGAGTTTCTTCTTCTACATCTGGGTCAATTTTCGGAATACAAACCAACTTTAAAAGCCATATCGCCACCTATTGTGTCGGAGTGCATCATGGCATTTTTATTTATTTATTTTTAATTTTTTTTTTTTTTTTTTAATGTTTTATTGAACATTTTTTAAACATACAAAAGCTCGGTGAGGATATCATCAACTTATCAACATAAGTTCAAGACATTCATTCACAATAAGACAAAAAAAACATAAATAATACATCCAATAAGAGCCAGGGGGAAAGAAAAAAGCATAAAGGCACAAAAACATTTAAGAGGCATTAAGCTTACTTAAAATAATAACCATTTGGAAATGTCATTGCAAATCTTTATAGACAGGTTACAAGATTGTTTAAGTAACAACCAATCTCTCACATTCGACCAAAACAATTCAGAAAAAGGGCATGAGAAAAATAAATGTTCCAACGATTCATCAGATAAATTACAAAAGGAACATGATTCCACTTCAAATTTAAATCTTGAATTTAAAAAAGTAGAAACCGGGTAGATTTTATGAACAATTTTAAAATGAGTTTCTTTTGCTTTAGGGGAAATAGGCCATTTTATAAAATAAGATAGAGCTTTTTCCATTACAGATAAAGTGTCTAAATCGGTCACTTGAGGAAATAAGCCTCTGTTAAAATTGTGAAAAATGTGGGATTTCAGGGAAGCATTAATAGATTCATCATGGCATTTTGATCGGCTAAATATCCATTAGTGGGGGGGGGGGGAACTCACTATATCCTAATCCCTCTCTGAAGTCCTGTCCTGTGTTTGGGGCCTATAACAGACTAGTGTGTCGATCCAATTGTTGGCCATTTGTATTATAAAGTCATAATATTTTCGGTGTATTACCTTAATAATGTGTTCACTATAACATTGTGAAAGGTTATCATTATTTAGGTGCAGGTTTCAAATAAGCCCAGTTGGTTTTCTACCTCTCCCTGCATTGTTTGATATAATTGTGTAATTTAAATTGCTCCAATACATTAAACTTCACTGCTGCCCTGTCACATAGGCTACTATACTGTTTAAATGTCTACTTATGATTTGTTACAATACTTAATACATATTTAATTTACTTTGTCCCATTGTTATCAATCGTCTGAAGTTGAGATGACCAGGCAGAAGAGAATAACTCTCAGCTGATTTTTTTAACATGACTCAGTTTGTTCGCCGAGTCATAAATACTTCAGTCTCACATCTGGTAGCAGTTTTTCGGATTGTGGTGGGCCCAATGCTTTGAGACCTGTCACTGACCGAAACCACAATGGACAAATGTTGTGCAATAAGATTTCTTCATCTAGATATCACTACGTAAAAGTACTCAGCACGGTTCAGTCCAGTTCACATCTTTTTAACATGAAATTGTTTAAACGTTTCATGCATGTTTTACGGGTACCATTGAGAGTGCAGCAGGGGACCAGGAAATATTTTTGAAGAGGCTGCTCTGGAAAGGCGGTTCAACTCTGACATTTGGCGCATCTTGCAGAGAGGTCTTTATTTTGGCTGGATACCAAACATGTGGCCAGTTGGAGCCGTCACAATTACCAGACATCTGGACAAATCTGAAGCGTGTGGGCCTAAAGTCTTTCAAGCTGCACTGATCAATTGGCACATGAACACAGAAATAAAACTAAAAGCAGGCTGACACATCAAGAAACAGGATTCCAAAAAGCCTTTTTTTCAGACATTTTGAATTGTCATAGTTGTAAAAGCACACTAACACTAATGATGGCTCTATTATAGTCCAGTGTTTCAGTGAGAGCCACAGTAAGCAACTAAATATGAAAGGCGAAGGTGTTCTTTAAATGTTGCTGCTGCAAGGAATCGTGGGATGGCATGATGTCCTCTCTTTCGTAAAGGATTGTCCAGTGTATGCTAAAGGGGATACAAAATGGAGGCTTTAAAAAAACACATCTTTTAAGCATTTAGAGAAATAAACCAGCTGCAATCACCGCTGCCACTTACACTCAGTCAGGAACCATCCAACAAAGAAAAAGACCATTTCACTGTAGTCAAAACGTTTGAGGAAACGTAAATAATGATAGTGTTGCTTTGTGTCTGGTAAATGAATCAATAATGGATTCATATGTTTGCCATAACGACAGGGATAATATGTCAATGTTGTTATATCAGTGTTCTGCTGCATACAAAGTGCCCAGAAATATAAATTAGCACATCGTTAAACATTAGCAACCATGAGCTACAGGTCGTACCAGACAAAGTGAGGCTGCATCTGCATAAACTGTAAGTGCATTTCATCTCTGTTTGCCTTAATCAAGTTTCTTGCAACTTACAAAGAAAACGACATCTGTTGCATTGTTGCACACACATTGTTTTCAACCTCAAATGTACTTTATTTACTCAATTCTGGTTGAGTCATTCTCTTCTGTTCTGTTTGTCTAAGAACAACGGCAGAACAGAGTAAAACATGTCCTTCTTTAATTGTGTTTCTTCTTTCTTTCCTTCTTTCTTTCCCCCCCTCCCACGTAGGAATGTCACATGTGGCAGATGCTCCTCCCCTCTCCTTAGAGATGGGTGAGGGGAAAAGGGGGTGAAGGGCTATGAGGGAGAGATGTGACTGAGGAGTATATAGGGGGGAGCAGAGGAGGAGGGGGAGGAGGAGGAGGAGGAGGAGGAGGAAGAGGGAGGTGTTTTGATCTGCTGCTGCTGCTGGAGAAAATCCACTCCAGACAGATACATTTCCTCCTCTCCAGATCGACCAGGAGGCAGCTTTAAAACCTCCAGCCCACAAAGTTTCCTTCTGCTCTCCACGCTGACTTTGACATCAGACAGGAGGAAGACTCTGAAGGCTCATCCTTTTGTTCTCTGAATTCCCTTTGATGTCTCCTGAGACTTCTTAAGGACCTCCAGAGGAAACGGTGCATCTGCAGGTCAGATGTTTGTGATTTGGGGTCTAAATTTAGTTTGATATTCAGGGGTCTTTCTTGGAGTACGTTTGGTCTGTTTCCTCCCAGCCTGCGTTGTACTTTCATTGGAGAAATGAGGGCTGAGGTGCTGGTCGTCTGGGCAGCTGTGACCCTGTGCTGCGCTCTGGTGTGTGCTCGAGAAGATGTAAAGGAAATCAAAGTCTCCAGGGACCAGATTCAGGTGCGAGAAACCCGAGGACTGGTCATGCCCATGAGACAGGGGGAAGAAGGAGGTGTTGAAATGTCAGATGATCCTGCTGAGGTGGTGGAAGAGGAGACCAAAAAACCAAAGAAAAAGAAAACACCTGAGGAAATTGAGGCAGGTAAGAAGGAGGTATGATGGTATGACTAACACAGACACACAACTTATACTATTGGGTGAATTTAGGTATTTAAAGGTCATACATGTGCAGATTCCTTTGAACTTTTCTGGCCTCTGCCACAGCTTGCAGCCAATACTCTGAGGATACACAGACAGGAAAGGCTGCAATCAATCTCTGTGGAAGGAAAACATTTGGTTTGAACTCTGTTATCTGGAGCTGTCTCTGGCTTTCTCTCGTCCACAGATTTATTTGACTAAGACAACATATGGTCACAAAAACCTTTGTTAAAATCTGACCACATGCGTTTTTTTGCTGCAGAAGAGATGGGGAATTTGTTTTGATAAAAGTGATTCAGAGGTGACGGGGCAGAAACTTGTTGTGATCCAGTTGGTGGTCTGACATTTTCTTGGCACCAACAAGACCTGCGCTCTCTGGCAGGAACACAGGTTGTGCACTCACGTTTTGTCCAGCAGAGTGATCAGAGAACTAGTTGCTACAGTGAGAGTGGCGTCTGTACCTCGATTATGTCTCCAAAAAAGCAACATCTGTGAAAAATACAAACTCTGAGCAACAGCAGAAATATTTCCACTACGATTTTCCGTAAGTGAGCAGATTTACGAGGGCCCGCTTTCAGTAGCATTCATGGCACTGATGTTCTTCAGAATGTTAACTTTCCGCTGCATCAAGCAAAACCACAAGCCCAGCCGTCAGAGATGTTCATGTGTGACTAATGTAAGTTACATTTCAGGCCATAATTACAGAAGCCAAAACTATTTTTCACTTCTTTCAGGCTCTGTAAATCCGGGGAAGGCTTTGCTGAGCATGCAACTTCTTCACCATCCCTTGTTCACAATCAAATGTTTACAATTTTTGGATCCTTTTACGGGTTGTTGTAATATTCTGTTTATAACATTTATTGCAAGCATAACAAAAGTGTTGTTTGGCCTCACCAGTCCCACATATACAGCAGCAGGCTAATGCAGGAGTCCAATCACCAACCAGTACTCCTTTGCTGAAATGCCACCAGTTATATAAAAATATGCATTTTATTTAGTTAAGTTGATTAAAAACTGTTTATTAATACAATAGTAAGCTGTCAGTTGATCCACCACGTTGGTCCAGATGGAAATATCTCAACAACTATGGATTCTTATGAAATTGAGTTTCTTAAATTAGATTTTTGACACCATGTTGGCCAGTCCATGGCAGTGGTTTCCTAACAAATGTGCACTTGTTAAAGGGAATTATGTCTTGGGCCCATCGAGCCTGATTTGGATTAAGCAATGATTAATTGTCACCATCATGCACATCATTTGATAAAAAAAAACATAACTGGGATTGAGAAGACAAACCAGAAAAAGCTTTGAGGTCTGATCCTGACAGTGGACCTGTGGATTAAAAGGTTGTTTGTTATTTCTGTGTAGACTCACAGAAAGAAAAGGTGACTGACAGTAATAAAAAGTGGCTGCCCAAACACCGGGGGCGAGTAATGGATTGGCAGTGAGGGGTTGTTGTGTTTAAGGAACATCAGGAAACATGTCTAGCAGAAGAAAACAAGCTGCCTATGTGTCTGCGTTGGAGTCTGATGATGATTGCATAACAACGGTGGATTAAAAACCCTGAATTCCTTTAAGATACCTTCTCTGTAATAATCCATGTTCAACATGAAACCAACCATTTCCCACTTTTAAGTCTGTAAGCAGCCTCTCATCAGACAGTTGAGAAGGTGTAAGGCGACACTGAGCTGATTGAAGGTTCCCAGACCGCCTCCGTACATCCGTGTGTTTGTCTTTTAATGTCTTGAAAACTAAATGTTGGTTTTGCAGAAATACTACCCTGCACACACAACACAGAAGTATAATGTACCACACTGCCTTAAAATGTTTGATTTGAATTGTGCTAACTAATTATTTACTGGTTTACCTGGTTGTTTAATTAGGCTACATTTCCTGTTGGTGGTTTTGGTAGGTGTATTTGTTTACTTCATGCAGAGCCAGACTTTTCCAATCTTTATGGTTTTATGCTAAGCTAGGCTAAACAGACCGGACATTGTACAACACACAAAAGCATTATGAAAGATTAGTGTCTCCTCTTAACAAAAAAGCAAGCATACAGTATTTCCCAAATATGTTAAATATTACATTTGCAGAGCAGTCATGCTCCCAGGAGGAAAACACATGACTATGACCTCTCCTATCGCTTTGCCAGCAAATCCACCTCTTATATAACTCTTTCCTCTGTACAGTATTGACTGTCAAAGGGGAGGTCATTAGGGCTTGGCAATGGTCTCCTCTGACTGCTTTCTTGTTTGGTCTCAGACCAACACAAACCAATGAACTGGCAAAATTATCTTTTGTGCAGCATTTCAAGTTTATGTTTGTCTAGTTAGGTTTCAGTTGTTTCGTGTTTAGGTACAGTAAGAAATCAGCTGTAAATATGTCCAACATATAAACAGACAAGAAGAGAAGAAAGAATTGGCAGTAAAAGTATATATCTAATAAAAAGAAACTACAAAGCTGCTTTACGTGCCATGCTCACATTTTACAGGTTTCAAATAACCAAAAGTGTTCCTCTTTTACCTCGTCTCTTTGAAGCCAAGGCAAAGAAAGCAGCAGAGAGGGAAGCCAAGGCAAAGAGGCAGAAAGCTCCTAAACCAACCAAAAAGCCAAAAGCACCAAAACCCACCAAAAAACCCAAAGCACCAAAACCCACAAAGAAGCCAAAGGCCCCCAAAGGCACCAAGAAGCTAAAGATGAGGACCACGGTGCAGCCGGACACCGGGCCACCCTCTGTGGACGAGGAGGAGGAGGAGAGGCTGCTGATTGGACTGGGCTGGGGAACAGGTATGTACACTACTGTTTAACGACCTGGAGTCATTGTACAAACAAACACTCAAAATACTGGACAAGAAATCTGAATAAAAATACAACTTGTTGAGCTGGGAATTATTTAAATCCCAATTCAAAACCTGGTTAGTGAGGAATCAGCTCTGCCAACAGACACAATCTTCTGCTCCTTACAACCCAGTGTCCGTACACTGCCTGTGTTTTATTATTTTGTATGTTTGTTTGTTTTATTTTTTTATTAAGTATTCCAGTAATGTATGTTGCATGTTTTTATTTGATTGTATTTACTTGTTTAAAATGAAATGTGTCTTTAGGTTGACTAACAAAATCTGTCCAGGGACTACAGATAAAAAATAGCCTCTTGGAAATCTGAAGTCTATTCTTGTAAAACAAAGTATTTCACCATTGTCTGTCCTTTGAACTTGATGTTCACAGTGAAACGACCTGCTGTGACCCCAACGACGCCTGCAGAGGAAGAGCCAGAGGAGCCGGGCCTGTGTGAGACCCGGAGACGGTTTTAGTTCTTTCACAAATGTTACTTTTGGTGTTTTATATTCATGCAGACATCTCCATAGAGCCAACAATTCCAACACAAACTCCCAAAGAGCCAATGAGCCCGGCGCTGACTACTGGGTAGTTAGACTTCTTTCTCCAACATCCACTCAGTCAGAGCCAAAGACTTTATGGAGCCTTTTATGACGGAGCTCAGAGGTTCCAGCGGGTTATGAGGGCTGTGATGTGAAAAAGGACCTGGAGGCTCCATCAAACCAGCACACTGCTAGTTTCCTTGAAACAGATTTATTATTTAGATGTTTTCAACACTTACAGACAGACTATAATAAAGACTTTAAAGGAAGACATACAAAGAGGAAGATTTATTTTGTATGCAGTTTTATTTCCCCTAAAATGTCAATGGATTTATGAGCTTATAACGTCTTTTGTTTGATGTCAGAGATTATGCTATAACAGTTCATATGAATACAGCATGTGCTCTGTGCTTCACAGATGTGCGGCCTGTTGGATATCCTGATTACAAAAAAGCCACAACTACTGAGGTCATCATGTTTATACCAGGTTTGGGTTCATTTAAAGAATTGATTTCAAAGAAGAGAGGCTCCAACATGGTATACTTTGTTTGACTCATTATTAGTTTGTCTTACTTTTACAATTAGAGAGTCCGATTAATTCAATGTAACTTAAGGATCAAAATAATTAAATTAAAACAAATTTGAAAATAAATAATGACAGTAACTTTTGAGAAATATACCAGAGTATCCTAGTTTCATTATTTGTGTATTTATTATATTTTCCTTATTGTATTGTGAATTACTATGAACACTTTTCTCTTACCTCATTTAATTTAACCCTTACTTATGTAACTATATACGTCCTTGAGTGATTGCAAAGTAGGGATATGTTTTATCACTTATTTCCTTCTGTTTCAGAGGAAACCACCAGTGTCCCATTTGCCGTCCCCTGGTATGAAGAGTATGATTACGCTGACTGTACGTCAATCATTTGGATAGATACCAACAAATAAATGTGCTGCAGTTTTTGCTATGAATCATTTTTTAACATGAATTGCTTCTGTTTCTGATTGTCTCCTCACAGTGGCTGCTAAGAGACAAGAAGAAGAGGAGGATAAGGCTCGCAAAGAAAAGGCAGAAAAAGGTTTATAATCTCATTTTCCTTGAAATTGTTTGGATCAATCCGCCACTGAAAATAGTCCCATACAAAGGTTTTATTTTATTTTATGAAAAATAGAGTGACCATAAAGAAAATAATACTCCTTTTTAAACATGAAACTATGATAAATTGAGGCGTTTTCTTTTACCCTTTATTCTTCAGTGTTCTTTTAAAGACCATTTTAGAACAAAAGGGTCTGGAAGAGATAGAGGAGGGATTTCCAACAGCTGTCTGTAAAAGCCTTACACAACATGTTGGTATTTCCTGTAAAGTCAAATATAAAATCATCATCACATATTTTCTGCATGAACAGCCTTAAACACATTCGCTCAAATAGACTAAACTAATCAATGTTAAAGGCAAGAAACACATGAGGAATGTATGAATGGGAATGAAGGTGCATTGTGCGAGCACATATGGAAATATTTTGGTGTAGGTGGTTGGCTGGAGATCAAGGTCCATTTGAGAACATGTTTTGACACATATTGTCTCCTCGTTACACTGAAGCTGAGCGGCTGAGGAAGAAGTGGGAGGAGGAAGAGGAGGAGCGACTGAAGCAGATTTCAGAGCCTGTGGAACCAAAAAGTAAGAGAAATACTGACAGGAACACAAATCCTTTTAATTGGTGGATTGTAACTAAGTACTTATACCAACTAATAGTATTCACGTACTTGTACACTACTTATCACAATTTGGCTTTTGATGCTTTAAACTTTTGCTTTACTACATTGCAGAGCCAAATGTTGTACTTTTTACTGCATTTACAGTTTCTGACAGCATACATTTACATTACTCTATGTCTATATCTACATCAGTAAAATGCCACATACATATTAATGCAGCAGTAAAATCCTATATAATAGTAAAACACAATTTCCTGCACAATGAGTACTTCCACTTTTCATTCTTTAAGTACATTTTAAAGTATTAAGCTGAAAGCCTGCTTTTGACTGGAATGTTTACACAGTGTTTAATTTGTGCTTTACTTCGAGAAAGGATCTAAATACTTTCACCACTGTTCATTTTTTTTAATCCATTAGGCCTTTTTTAAACTACTACATTGTCTTTAAAGGACATCTTCATTCAAAAGTAAAAAATGCTTTCAACTCACTTGTTAAAGCCGTTCTGTGGCTTCCAAGAATGAATCAAATGTGTGTTTTGAATCAGAGTATTTCTGAAACATTGAACACACCCTGTTTGTGTTTGCTTTCCCTCTCAGAGTGTCCTCCTCTTGGCCTGGAGTCTCACCGGGTGGAGGACGACCAGCTGCTGGCGTCCTCTCAGTCTCACTACGGCTTCACGGCTCAGAGGGGACGACTCAACATGCAGGTAGGCTACACATAAAACACAATAGTTACTTTGGGAATATTGAAAGTCTGCTCTCAAAGCAATTATCTGTTATCGGTCTCAGAAAGATGTGTTTCCTTACAGGGCTCTGATAATGAGGACGATCTGTTCGGAGGTGCGTGGTGCGCGGAGCCGGAGGAGAAGGCCCACTGGTTTGAAGTGGATGCCCGCCGAGAGGTGGAGTTCACCGGGGTCATCACTCAGGGAAGAAACTCAGACCAACTGTGAGTCTATTGTTGTGATTCATTGTTTTGTATGTCACATTTATAGAACATTGGAAGCCCATCTCTGCAGGAAAAATGAGGGCAATTCAACTTATTTTATGAAGAGATTTATAGAAGTAATCTCAGGGCGCTTTTCATACAAAGCAGGTATAGACCAGACTATTTAAATGTGTATTTACAGAAACCTTACAATAGTCCAATAGCGAGTCCAAAATGTCCTCACTTTTAGCTCAGTTTTTGGTCTCTACCAACTCCTGGCGGAAGTATGTGTCACCTAGAGGCTAAATGCTCCACTATGTTCACCTGCAAGTCTCTTACTGTGTCCGTCTGCTGAGCAGGTAGTGTGGATTGGATTTCTCGGATGGCTAGAAAGAGGGAAATTCAAATTATGTGACTGAACCAAAACAGTAAATGTTGGGGGCACAAAACAAAACGTGAGCTGAAAGACACAGTATTGTTCCTAAGAGCTGAAAGGAACTTAAGTATAAAAAACTATTCATAATTTTGACTTAAGACATTATTTTCTCCTGTCAGAAATTAACTTAAGAAATGTAACTCTGTTAAAATGTTTACTGATTAATCAAACATTTTTCCTATAGGGAGGATTTCGTGTCCTCCTACTTTGTGTCCTTCAGTAACGACAGCCGTGACTGGACTATACTTCATGATGGCTACGCTGAATGGGTTGGTTAAAGATAAATAAATAAAAGCTTAAAATGACAGATTAAAAACTTAATATTCTATTCTGTGTGATGGTCCTCCTGCAGTTGTTCTATGGGAATGTGGATAAGAACACGCCAGTGCTGAGTCAGTTTTCTACGCCCGTGGTGGCGCGGTACATCCGCATCCTGCCGCAGAGCTGGAACGGCAGCTTGTGTCTCAGAGCGGAGGTCCTGGCCTGCCAACTACCCAGTCAGTATCACAGAAAACATATTACAACACCACTGACCTTATCTGTTATCAGGAGTAAATTAATCGTCTCTTTCTGAAACTATGAGGCCTTGGTTGAAGCAGTTTAACAGGTCTTTAAAGAGTTTAATGACCTCATGAGGCACAGAGCTTTCTCATTCCTTTCAGGGATATGTCATCCTCCACTGGGAGAATAACAACACTTTTTGCCAAACACAAGAGTCTGTTTCACAAAACAAACTTCATGACACCAGTGTTAGGAAAAGTGTTTTACATGGTAACTAAATCAAAGCACAACTTTGTTATACAACATTTCCAAGTGGTAGAAAGTTTCTAAGAACATCTATTCAAATACTGTCCTTGACTACAATGTTGAGGTACTTGATTAATAATACTGAATATGATAAGAAATAAATAATTATTTATCAGATAAGGCAAAACTATTGTGAAGTGAACCTTGAACTCTACCTACAGTAGCAGTATATAAAATAAAGTTAAAGCTGCAAAATCTATAAACACATTGCTGCAACAACAATTATTATGTAATAGTATAATTATCCTGAAATTGTGCATGTGTGCTTTTACTTTTGATGCTTCAAGTATATTTGAATGCTAATAGTTTCTCAGTTTTGTTTTTTAGTAATATTTGAATGCAAGACTTTAATATTACAGACATTTGCCAATTTGACTAAAACAGCAGAACTTCTAGTGTACTATGAGCGTGTTTCTTCTTCCAGGCAGCTACCGCAGTGAGAATGAAGTGAACTCCTCAGACGAACTGGACTTCAGACACCACAACTACAAGGACATGAGACAGGTCTGTTTTTAAGTCTGATCAAAAACTACTGCCCTATTATCATTCTGAAAAGAACAATATCACAAAAGAGTTTCCTCTTGTATCTCTCTTACAGATGATGAAGGTGATCAACGAAGAGTGTCCTAACATCACCAGGATCTACAACATTGGTAAAAGCTCTCAGGGCCTGAAGATGTACGCCATGGAGATCTCTGACAACCCAGGAGAGCACGAGACAGGTGTGAGAAACAGACAGCAAAAAAACCATCTTTACAAGATAAAAGATCATTGTCATAATTGTACAATCATTTTGTCCCCTGTACAATCAACAATGCAAAAAGTGCTTTAATATACAAACATTTGACCTTTTTGTAACCTTAGGAGTTGGTTCTAGTGTGTTTCGTCTCATTAAAACATATTTTCGGGGTCCATTTGTATTTACCCATATCTTCTCACATTGGCCCTTCTAGCCAATCATGCGTGGTGTAGTCAATGAACTTGAAGTTTGCAAGCATGGCTGTCATTGGAAGCTAAGTTGAAGCTAGTTTGCACAAGAGATAGCTAAACTAGATAGGGCTAAAAAAGAAAATGTGATTGTTGGACACATAATCCTTTTCACACATCATTAGCTAAAAACAGCGATGTGGGTAGCTAGAGTATGTAGGTGTGTCAAAAAGTACTTGTAAAACGTTCTATTTACGCCTATTTGTTCTCGTGTTTATGAATTACCTATGATACTTCCTACATTACATATTACTTGTTAGACGCTTTTATCCAAAGCGACTTACATACTCAATACTGTATATTACGATAAGTAGTGTGTCTTTACGTAACACGACTACACAGGATTCATGACTATAAATAAAGCCGCATTTCTTGAGGTTTATAAATCTGCGTGCTGTTGCTTTCTAGGTGAGCCTGAATTTCGGTACACAGCTGGTCTCCATGGTAACGAGGCGCTGGGTCGTGAGCTTCTTCTCCTGCTGATGCAGTTCCTGTGCAAGGAGTACAATGATGACAACCCCAGAGTGCGCCGCCTGGTGGACGGAGTGAGAATACACCTGGTGCCTTCACTCAACCCTGATGCTTACGAACTGGCCTACGAGATGGTATGATGAACATAAATTACACATTAATAAACGTTGGCTTAACTTGGAAAGAATACCGGTATCCGCAGTCAGTGCTGGACTCAGGCTTTCTTAAGGGGCAGGTGCAAAAAAAGATGGGCACCAGCAGCATGTAGGGGTAGCCTTTAAAAGTCACATATTATACAAAATCAAATTGTTCATGTCATTTATACATAAACAAGTGTCCCCTCTGTGTAAAGAGATTCTGAAAATTTCAGGAAAAAAGATTTGCTCTCCATTTGTCCTGAACCATTTATATAAAAACCTGTCTGAAAAGGAGCTGATCAGATTTTGGCCACTTTGTGATGTCATAATGTTGTTTTGGGTTGTGTAACCATTAGCCCATAATCAATTAAGGGCACACACCTTATCACCTGAATCTCTTCCTAGAGCACCAATGTGTTCTTTTTAACCAAATATCTCTCAGAGGGGCGTGGGGAGTGGCTCCTTATTTTCATCTAAAGTAAAAGACAGAGAATCAGCACTTTTGAAACAGGGCTGAAACAGAGGGGTTTATGGGATGCTGCAATGATCTGTTTGGTGTTTCAGACAAACACTTCAGAGACATGTTTTGTATGTATCTGAGACCTATAATATATTGATGAAAAACAGTATAATAGGGGACCTTTAAGGGCCAGGCGGGAAATAAATATGGGCACCAGTTGCATGCTGTCAAGTTTTCCAGCATGTAGGGTAGCCTTTAAGGCCTGCATCCTGTTTTTTTTCCATAGAAAGGTCATGTGTATTTACTGATGCTAAAAGGCTTCATATTTATGCAAAAACTATTCTTTGAGACCTAACATGGTCTTCCTTGTTGTCCTTCAGGGCTCAGAGATGGGGAATTGGGCGTTGGGCCACTGGACCGAAGAAGGTTACGACATCTTCAAGAATTTCCCAGACCTCAACAGCATTCTCTGGGGAGCTGAGGACAGAGGCTGGGTACCTCGTATCGTGCCGAATCATTACATTCCCCACACAGAAAACGTCCTCAATGGCTCTGTGAGTTTGTTCAAGGCCACCAAGGACCCATAAACCACTTTAACCCTACAAGATGTGTTGAAACTCAAACTTTTCTTTGCTTTTTCCTCTCACAGTTTGCTACTGAAACAAAATCCATCATTACCTGGATGCAGCGTACCCCATTTGTGCTGGGAGCAAATTTGCAAGGAGGAGAAAAAATGGTCGCCTACCCGTTTGACATGCAGCGTCAACCAATTTCTGTAAGGCTGTTTCACAAATACAATCTTATTAAACACATATAGATCACCTCAGGAGTTTTACTCCCATATAATAACACATTAATCCTTTGATGTTGTCAAAGCCTACGGATAGCCGACGGAGTGATAACTCTAACATGAACGAAGAGACGTGGGCTCGCATTCAGCGGCAGAACGAGGGATCTCTGAGAGAGACGCCAGATGACGCCATGTTCAGATGGTTGGCTATGTCATACGCCCACAGCCATATGACCATGACGGAGACATACCGAGGCTCATGCCATGGCGATGATGTCACTGGGGGTCAAGGCATCACCAACAGAGCCAACTGGGATCCAGTGGTGGGCAGTAAGTGTTGACATAAGAGGGAATCAAATACATTGTAACAGTGCAAACAACTGTGCAACAATGAAAGAGCAAATGACTTAATCCATTTATTCCTGGTGGTATCCATAGACTATTTAATCTGTTTGGCATTCTCAAGGTCTCCATCAAGTACATAACCCTAACCCTATACACACCACCATAGATGATAGCTATATTTTGCACAGAGACCAACTAACCAACACCTCCTGTGTTTTAGTTTTCAACAAAATGAAACAGTTTGCAAGTAATCCAATTACCAAAAAACAATTGACACACAAGAACACTGGAGCTTTTGAGGGGCAGTTACCCACTTTGCCTGATTGGAAATCCAACTTTGGTGGTAACAAAGTCTTCAGGAGACCATCCGATTGTAATTGAAGTACTGTATATGGGATGCAATTTGTAATGCTCTTAAGCTCAACAGCGTCATTTCTTTCATGACACAGTTCCTGCTTAAACTGAAAAATCTACACATCTCATAGTATCAGTATTTCTAAGCTTGATGGAAAATAGTTAATTGTTTGTTGGAAGGTCATGTTGCTGTTTATATTGCAAATGGCATGCATTGATGCATTTAAATAACAATGTATCAAGGTACAGATGCCTCAGGAGTACTTTGACTAATAAAATAATCATCTAGACAGCACTGATCCTTTATCAAAGCTCCCTTTAAAGCTTTTTTTCTCCCACAGGTATGAATGACTTCAGCTACCTGCACACCAACTGCTTCGAGCTGTCCATCTTCCTGGGCTGTGACAAGTTTCCCCATGAGAGTGAACTGCCTCTGGAGTGGGAGAACAATCGCGAGGCTCTGTTGTCCTTCATCGAACAAGTGAGAACTGGACTGATGAGTATAAATTAAACTCTAGTCAGAATACTTTGGACATCAATTCCCCCTGTTTGTAGACTTGATATATGGCTGTTAACAGCTGCTTTTCTATCCTTCACATTGAAACGGGTGTGGTCTGTTCAGTCTTGTGCTGGTGGCAATGAATTGCAGTGGTGGTAGCCTCCATTGGCACGTTTAATGTTTTTATCCCCATGATGTTTGCATATTTCCTTGGTTGATAGACTAGTGATTGGGTCCCACTGAAAGTAATATAAACCATGATTAGGCTGAACCTGAAATGCTGTTTTCTGTTCAGGTAAATCGAGGAATAAAGGGTGTAGTGAGAGACGTGGAGGGAGGTCCGCTGCCTAATGCCACTATATCTGTGGAGGGAATACACCATGATGTCAGAACTGGTATGTTGTGGACAACAACAAAGACACGTATTTATTAGACTTTTTGGTCAAGAATGTCAGCTTCTAACCTTTGCCCTACACTCATTCTAGCTTTAGGTGGTGATTACTGGCGTCTGTTGAATCCTGGAGAGTACAGAGTGACGGCCAGAGCTGACGGCTACACCCCTCAGACCAGAATATGCATGGTGGGCTACGACGTTGGAGCCACTTCATGCAGCTTCACCTTAGCCAAATCAAACTGGGACCGCATCAAACAAATCATGAAGCTCCACGGCAAGAGGCCCATCCGACTTGTCCCCAAAGTAACTGTGGTGAGAACGACTACAGCGCCAAGCCCTGTGGCCACCACCGTTGACGATCACGCCAGACTCCAGAAGGCAGAGCGACTCAGGCGGCTCAAGATCTTGCGTTTACGCCGTCTGCGTCTGCAGAGGTTACGAGGCGGTCTCAATACCATACCTACTCCATCAACGACGACGACGACGACGACCACAACTACAGCCCCCACAACAGAACCTAAGACCGAGAGAACCACTTCCTGGTATGACTCCTGGTTTCCGGACAGTTGGATGACAGAGAATCCATTCGATAGCGTTAACTTTGACTCGGCGCCCACACAGGACTATCCTTTCGAATACACTATTGATTGATTTCTACATTCAGTGACACAACATCCATGTAAAACCTTACTAACCACTTCTGATTGCTGCATCCTCACAGCTTTAAAAACACAGAACACACAAGTAATTCAGCGCTCAAAATACTGGATTCGGGGAACATTGTGAGCGGAGACTTTAAGGGAATGTCCGTAATACACATTTTTTTTGGGAAATTTCCATACAGAGAATTGATCTGGAATAAAAGATTGTGCTAAGCATTCACTATACAGCTCAAGATATTAGGCTTTAATAAAACAATAAACATGTCACAACACAAACAGGAAATAATTAGGTACCTCTCCATTTTAAATGTCTGTATATCTGTATGTTTCTTATGCTTTACAGTATGATGGCTTCAGTTCAACTTATTAAATGTACTTCTGAATGCATTGGATTAAAAAAAATTTTTTTGTGTAAGATGTTGTGGTTCTAATTATGACTTAAAGGGGACCTATCATGCAAAATGCACTTTTTGATGTCTTTTATAGATAAATATGTGTCCCCGGCGTGTCAGGGAACTCACGCAGCATCAGAAAATAAAACCCTCTCTCTTTTCCTCCGTACCCAAATCTCTAAAAACGGGGCTACAACGGAGCTGATCCAGATTTGCGTCTGATATGACGTAATATCGGAAATGTAGGCTGGCTTTACACCCACAGCCCAATCAGAAACGTTGCTATCAGAAACAATGCCCGACTGTTTTGGACGTAATATGGTCGGTGCATGTTTACATTAGCATCGCTAACACTCAGAGCTAACCTGAACTGCACAGAGCATGTGTGTGAAGAAGCAGGAAATAAAAAGGAACTCACCTTGTGGTATAACCGGCAAGAGAGAAAGCCTTTGAGCTCCATACTGTTTCAGAAATAATCCATGATAAGGCGTTTCATCACGGCAGTATTTAGTTTAGACAGTAGCTGCCGGGTCCCGCATGAGCTCAGCCCTCTCCTTTTTTTTTTTTTTTTTTTAAAGCAAAATCAGCACTTTTGAAACGGGAAGTGAAATAGAGGGATATAATGCATGGATAGAATGGGGGATCGGTTTGGTATTTTGAGCTAAACACTTCAGACATGTTTTTTATTTATCTGAGACCTATTGCCTAAAAATAGCATGATAGGTCCACTTTAAGGCTTCATGTTGTGCGGCAGTGTTTGGGGGCTTTCATTTACAATAGTAACGAGAAGGACAATTAGGTTAAATTTGGCTGATGGGTAAAGTATTGTCGGTAATGCACATAAAATGTGTAAAACATGTAAAAGCAGGAGAATAGGAAAGGCATTGAAACTGGACGAAAGGAGACATATTTTAACTGTTGTAAGTCCAACAAAGAACAGGAAGTCTAAATCCAAGCAGATCTGAGAGATTCATGATTCATCGAAACCCCCCCCGGGATCAGAACATTTCCAGGATTGTTGCCCAGTGAAGTCCAGGAAATCAAGCCTGTTCCTGGAACTGCCACTGTTCACATTTCATGGGTCACAACAAATCGTTTTTCAAGCAAAGATATAAAGAAACTGGAATAAATCCCTCTTTCTGCATTTGTGAGTGTTTCTCTCACAGGTGTGTCAGATTAAACACCTTACTTTCCCTACCTCTTTCCCTACCAGATTTGAAAGGGGCTATTCTATACCTCAACAAAATGAAACTACTGGATAGATTGTTAGAAAACGTGGTTAATATTTTAATGTGTCCAATACTTTGGTTTATTTTTCCCAATCAGCCTCAGGTGTGTTTACTACAAGTTATTAATTGCAACAACATGTTTGCATATAAAATATGATCTATAAGAACTACAACATAAATGCTTAACGTTTGAGAAGAAATACTTTTATTTTAATCAACATTTCAATGTTTTTAGAACAGACGCATTAGAAATAAGATGATACAGATACTGTATTCCTCAACAGACAATATATCATGTTTAGATTTGACAAAATCCAAGTTCAAACGGATGTCTCCTGCATTTTCTTCGTTTCAAAGTTCACATAAGTCTGCGTTCATCGTCCGTTTCCTCCGTGGGCCATATAGACTCAACAGCCCATTTCATCCAAAGTCAATACAGTTTATATTTGTCTCGTCCGGGCCGACACTGGATCAGAGCGGTCCTCTGGGTTTCTGCACAGTTATAACCTCCAGGACTGATACACTCTGTGTACTGCAGCTCCGGCTAGGACTTGACTGGTGTGTCTTTCCTGTTCCTCCCGGCGCTGTATCGGAAACTCTTCAGTGGGTTCTTCCCCTGGATGTTCTATCAGAAGAGATTGAAACCATACATTTAGCAACTCTCCAACGTATTTCTATGTGAGATAATCAGCTCATTTTCATATTATGTTCAATGGCATATAAGGTGTTCAAAATCGTGGGTAAACAACTACTTAGGACCAGGGGTTAAATTGGGCCGGGGCTCAGCCCCGGCACATAGGACGATGCTCTGACGTCATCACCCTCACACATTTGTCATATGTTTACAAAAAATGATATATATGTAAAAAAGTTTCTCGTTCTTAATATAGACTATATTTAGGGTCGATATGTGTTGACTTTACTTTAAAATAGCAGGTCTCTGTGACCGGATATAGTTTTTTCGGCTTAGTGAACGTGTGTCTCTTCCTTGGAGGAGCAGCATCGCCCGGACTCCGCTGCTCCTCCGTGCAGAGTCTGCAGCGCGGTGTGTGTGTGTGTGTGTACACAGAGTCTGCGGCGGTGCCGCCAAACGACCCGAGCCGGCTTGTAACACGGAGCCCATTTCCATACTAAATGTATGTGTGTGCATAAAGCCGAGTTATGATCGGTCATAATTAAATAATTTACAGTGAGATTTACTCACATACTTTTGGCAGCCCTACAAATGAACTGAGATTACCACACAAATGTTCTTTAGCAAGTGTGCAGAGCAATGTTGATTTAAAATAGCAATTTGAAGGTTGGATATTTGCAAATAATATACAGTATAGCCCTTAAGGTCAAATAATGAGACACACCACCACCCCACCCCAATTTAACCCCTGCTTAGGACAGATGCACTAACAGAATTTAGACATTATTAAAGAGTTTAAAATAAGTGATGATTTGATTAAGCGTATACCTGTTGCCCTCAACTTGCTGTTATTCTGCTCAATTCCCTGTTTATATATGCCACCACTTATGGTTACGTTAGATGTTTGCTGCTTGTTCGTTAATCCTCTCTGAAAAATGCTTGAGATCCTGAAATCTTTTCTTGTCCAGGTACCATCTCCTCTGAACACAATGCACAGGAAGCAAAAGAAAGGTCTTCTGGCAAGCTAGCCATTTTTATCACAGAGAACTAAAACACTTAGAAGTTGTAACCGAACCCTGTACCAGGTGAGCACCGAGGGGTTTGATTTCTGGCTGGTGTTGAATCGAAAACTGTCACCAGTTACCTTTATGGGATTCAGTCCATTTTAACAGATTGTTTTTCTTGGGTCTCACCTTGAAGCTGCTCTTGATGACTCCATCTGGTTTTGATTTGACCATCTTCTTCTTCTTCCTCCTGTTTGACAGCGGATTCACGACGCCCTTCAGTGTCTCGGGAACTGGAGAACGGCAGGGGGAAATTATTAATTACAAATGATTGACATTTACCATGTACAATGTAAATGTACTTTTCACTTTAATTGAGTATTTCTATTTAAAGATGCAATACTATGTGAGCAAATAAGCAAATATATTATAAAGTGGTATTCTAAATATAGATTTCACTAAAACTGATATTTCAGGTGTTCTTTTGTGTGTGTCTCTTACTGAGGTAGTCGGGCACGTTCCTCAGGTGGGGTTTGATGACAGCAGGATGGAGGTCTTTGTCGTGTCTGAGCAGCTGCAGGTCTCTGGGGTTGTCCTCAAAATATGTCTGAGAGACAGCAGGGACATCAAATCACAACATGTACACTTCAACTCTCGCTCCTAAGAAACAGTGGCTATCACTCACCTTGAGTTTTTCTGAGTTGAGCAGCTCCTGTTTGATCTCCTTCAGTCTGGCCTCCTTCACTGCCTGCTTTGTCACTGAACGCATGGCATCCTGCATACAAACACCATAAAGGTTCATCATCCAAACGCTAGTTTTTTCGCCATGCTGGAGTTTTAATCCAAATAAATTGTTGATCCTGTTTGGCTTTGTTTGGTTAGTCACAGATATGAGGAGGATACTCACCCTGCACCTGTACCTGAAGCCCTCAATCTCTTCCATCTTAAACTCGTATGGTTTTAGAACACAATCAGACTTATCTAAAAAAACAAAATACATGTTTCATATTAAAACTGGCCACATGACTAAAGGCTTGGACTCAAAGTGTATTAAAAGAAGTCCTGGTTACCTCCTGTGAGAGCGTCCTCCACCTCTGCTAGCACACCAATCTCAGTGTGAGAGATGAAGGACAGAGCGGTGCCGGGGTTGTCTGCTCGGGCCGTTCTACAAAAAACAATAATACCAAATCAGGATTTGATAGTTATAGGACATAAATGGCTTCTTCCTTTTAATAGGAAGAAGGTGCCCTCATGAATCATTGATCCTGAAGTGTGACTGAACGGAAACACTGCTCACCTCCCAACTCGATGAATGTATGATTCTACAGTCATGGGGAAATCAAAGTTGATGACATTTGAAACATTCTGGAAGTCCACCCCTCTGGAGACTCCATACTCTTTGTCCTTCGCCCTTTAACAACAGAAATACCAATCAAGTCAACAAAAATGTACAAATGCCATGAAAAGGACAACAGAAAAGTCTTTCCGTTCATTATCTGATGAAAGAACCAAAATCAACACTTGTGGGTTTTAACACATAAAGGATGGTAGGTAACATTATGAGCTGGGACGTTTAAAGGTAATGTTTGCAGTTAAGTTGTACATGACATAAATGAATGTGCCGTATTTGATAAGCCATATTGTATCACCCTTGACTTCTCCCGATCATTGTCTATTGTACAAAAGAGTGTTCAGGGTTGATGAAAAAAATCTCTCAATTGACTCACCTTCCTCCCTTGTCTGTGTTCTTCTTCTTCTTCTTCTTCCCTTTGCCTGCCGTCGGCGGTGGAGCAGCAGCGGGGTCGGCCAAACTCTGTTCATCTGTGGCGATGATGTAGTCGTAGAAGCCCTGGTTGAACTGAGTGATGATGTGACACCTGAAGCAGGGAGGAAGGAAACATCATGATCAACACAAGGAAAGGGGATAACATGTTGTGCTTAATAATCTACTGTATGGCTTGAATGGCACTTTGATTTCTTTGAAGGGCAGTTTCGGCTGACATGTTTGTTACTGTGTTTTAAAAATTGTACTCATTATTTTTGTATCGGTGTTGAATGTAGCGTTAACTAGGGGACAAAGAAGCCCAACAAATAATTGTATTAATCTTTAATATCAAGCTTTGAATATAACTGAATGCTTGGAATAATATACTATTAACTGCAATTACTGAGATACCCGGCAACCCTTTTGTGACTCTTTAAATTACTTTTCAGATGTGTATTTGCAGGTTTTTAAAACACAGTATAACTGAAGAGTGGTAGAAGAAGTATTCAAAACCGTACTCAAGTATGCAAGTATCATCAGCAAAATGTACTTAAATTATAAAAGTACTCATTGTGCGGCAATAGTGTTTTACTTATATTATATTTCTAGAATAACATTACAACTGATTGAATATGCATGATGCATTTTAATACTCTAGATATTTAGAGTTGTGCTTACTTTATGAGAAGCATGTATCTCTAAAAAAATCATTATCGGCCCAGAAAAATAGCTTTGTATTTAGCTTTGGGACAATGTATTTTTGAAAAAGACGATGTAGGACAACTTATCTAAATGCATGAAGAAATGTTTATCTTAAATATTCTAAAATCTCCACATTTGGAGAAACATGTTTTTTTCAATAGATGAAAAGGCTATAAAAAAAATCATTAAGTTAAAACTAACTAGTAATTCTATTCTGTACTCTTCTCTCACCTGGACTGGACGGGCAGCTCAGAGTTGAGCACACAGGCAGGAATCCCAAACTGCTCCAGGAACAGTTTGAGTCTGTAGCTTCGGTCCACCGCTCCCACAAACACCAGCGTCTTCCCCTGAACCAGCCTCAGCTTCAGCAGCGTGTAGATGAGCAGGAACTTATCCTCCTCCTCACACTTGAGGCCGTACTGCTGCAGCTGGCTGCTGTCGGGGAGCTGAGAGCCCTGGAGCTTCAGGATCACCTGGGAGAACACAGATACAGGGGTAAAGACAAAACCAGGAACACTTACAGCTTCTAATATGTATTTAACTTAATAAACTGTAAGCAGATAACTCAGACACACATGTAGCCTTTTTTGTAATACTATGATTTTGAATAAGACATTACAGGGTTGTGCAGCAGCAGCTCCTTTAAGGCCTGAACATCTTCTGTGAGAGTAGCTGACATCAGGAACGACTGGTAGATATTTGGCAAATGACTGTTAAAACACAACAAAAATATGATTATGTACATTTTAAGATAACAGAAATAGTGTACAAGAACATGTGGAAATGTTGCAAATGTCACATATTTATTGTTATAATAACTGCCTGCCATGGCTTATTGCTTAATTAAACCATGTGCAGCTGCCTCAGGTAAGTTATTTAAAGTCAAACTGTGTTCTCACCACAACAAGTTCTTCAGGTCTGCCTCGAAGCCAAAAGAGAAGAGCAGGTCGGCCTCATCTACCACCAGCATCTCAAGGGACGAATGCAGGACCAGGTTCTGGGCACTGAGGTGGGCGAGCACTCGTGACGGGGTCCCCACAACCACATCGGGCTTCTCCATTAAGATAGGCCTGTTTAAACACAAAAGACATCTCATTATATCTTATTACACTTGATACAGGAGAATACATTCTAAGGTATTAAAACTCCTCAACCAGACTGACCTCTGTGCTGATAGGTCAGATTTCCCCGTGATGTCGGCCACTCGGACGTCCCGGGAGCAGTACATTGTTAACTGTCTCATCATGGCCTGAACCTGCTGACCCAGCTCTTTGGTCGGAACCAGGATCAGAGCTCTCACTTCCTGCTCTCTAACGCTCTGAACATAACAACAAAACAAAACACAGAGTGAGCTGACCAAGGGACAAAAAGGAAAGCTGAAGGATATGCATCACAGAGAGAATATCTTTGGTTTTTAATATCCTGAAGTTGTTTTCTCACCTGTTTGGAGGCCAGGATGCGCTGGATGACGGGGATAGCGTAAGCAGCGGTCTTTCCTGATCCAGTCCTGGCTCGTGCTAGAAGGTCTTTCCCCTCCAGAGCCAGAGGGATCGCCTTCTCCTGGATCAGAGTGGGCTGGGACCACCCGAGATCTGCAACCGCCTAAATCATGAAAATAAGAACAAGGATTCATTTCATGCCTTTAATACAATGATTTCAATAGATGTGTGTGTGTTATTTTGTCAGCTCTGACATGGGAATATATAAATGTAGTTAGTGTAAATAACGGGGAAAAGTTTTTTTGGAGGTTAAGACCTTTTCACACCTGGGAACTGCCATTTTCACAGTTTTATCAAATGCTGCAAATGTACCTAAACACTATGTGGAAACCCTTTTTCACCAATTAAAGGAAGTGATAAAGTATGACTAACCGGTCTGTTTCAGGTAACAAATGTTATGTATCATAATACATCTCTTTTATAGCTCTTTGATGACATAAATCTAAAATGAATTCCATTATCCCTTGTATAGGCTTCTGACTGGTTATAAGGCATAAATTAGCCCAGAAATTTGTTTTACAACTACTTGGCCAACTTAATTTTAACTGATTAACACAGGTTTAACACTTCTTTTTGGGTGATCAATAGACCTCAGGATATGAAACCTAATGTTAAAGTAAGCTCAGAGCAACATATATATCTGAACTATCAGAGACACCATATATGTACAGGTTTTTACATATTGACAGATATTGTGATTTGATTTTTTGGGGGATAATGACATTCTGGTATGGATTTACAGTATATGTCCTGAAAGTCCTGAGAAATAAATAATAGTGGGAAGTGAACGTTTCATGCAAACAACAAAAATAAGGTCATGTAAACTCTACCATGGATATAAACACAAATAACAGTTATAATGTATTTGTTTATAGGTTAAACCCTTTCCTTCATATTTGTTCTATCCCCATACACGAGACAAGTTAAAGCGACACACGGAACCTCTTGTAGTTATTTACGTCGCGTTGCCTTCACGTTTCTGCCGTTTTTCCTCTTAAAATAAAGGTTTACCGTTTTATCAACAGTCTATTTATGATTTACTGATAGTGTCAAACTGGTTTTTACCTTTAAAAGACGGTCGTCAAAGCCCATTTCATGAAAATGAAGCATTTCAGCAGCCATCTCTGCTCCTCACTACACCACACGTGCGTCGCAAGGTTCTGACGTCATGATGCCTTCACGTCCCTCCTCTAAAACTCCAAATTCCCAATTTTTCCTTCATATAATCTTGCTTCCTTTTTTTCTTGTTTTTTAGTCAAACAAACATATATTTAAGGTGGTAAGGTAACACATAAAGAAAATAATAATAATAACAAGTTAAATAGAATACATTGAAATGTAATTCAATTACATTTAATTTAAGCAATACTTAAAAACTGTCACATCCTCAAAATCACAACAAACATAGATTAAAGTCAAAATCTGGATCTTTGCAAAGTAGATTTTATCTAAAATAATTGTTGCTTTGGTGTATTTGTATAAAATATATATATAAATATAAAAATATTTTTTAAAAACATAAAAATAGTAGAGAAAATTAGACAAATGCAAAATATAGTAGGATAATGGGAGTTTTAATATGATAGGGATTATGTTGCTTAAATATGCAATGTACTTCTACACCAGGGAAGATATGAATAATTCAACCACTGCTGAAAGGACTGTTGTGGTGAGATTGTTTACTCCATTTTCTCCCTTATTTCCCTAATATGGCCAGTAGATGGCAACAAACGCAACCAATGACTCAAACTCTAACGTCACAAAGAATTGTATTAACAATTAAATATAAAAATAACCACGGTACATTCAGCCTACTGAAACACACACACCAGAAGAGCGTCCATAACACAGCATGGACGTGGCTTTGAATTAGCAGCCATGTTTTTGTAGTAGTTTGTTTTGAATGAGGACTTGTTGAGAAGATGGTGCTGAGGAGCGGGGGCTGGAAATGAATGTCTGGAGCTGGATGCTCAGCAGCAGCTTTCTCATCTTCCCATCCATCCTCCCAAAGCAAAAATAAAAGAGTCAACATGGCCGCGGAGCAGCTCGCCCTGCAGCACCTCTGAGGCTGAATAAAACCACACACAGGTAAATAAAACAAACATGGAGGGTACGTTGTGGGAAATACTGGGCATGCATTGTTTTTCCCTCATTGTAATGGATTGTTCAATCACTAAGACACATCCAGCCGAGTATTCCCCAAGATAAAGCCACAGGTTGTTACATAATCTAAAAATGATAATATTCTAACTCTAAAGGCTGTAATAATGTCCCTTTATTGGATCATATGTTATACAAGCTCTTTATTGTTTATTCTTTAATATTTCACGGTTATTCCTCTATTGTTTTCAGATTAAATGGCGTTTATGTCCCGGTTCTCCCGGTCCAGGAGCAGCTCCAGGTCCCCGAACCGAAAAGATACCGAGCGCGTGTCCCCGCTGCTGACCGTGTCCGAGCTGGAGAGGCTGCTGTGCACGGGCAAAACTGCCTGCAACCACACAGACGAAGTGTGGCCGAGACTTTACATTGGAGATCAGTGAGTGTACATCACCCTCACTTCATGATAACACTAAACAGTGATGAAATAACTCTATGTCTAAGTACAACTAGTACAATCAAATACATACTTTAGGAAAAGTGTTTACTATTTTGAATACAAGTACAATTAAAAGTATTTATTATACATAATGTGCCCTTGCAAATAATACATTACATTATTAAAGCATCACTTTAATCAGAGAGGGCAAAAGTACACACATCCTTTACTCAAGTAGAAGTACAGATAGGCCTACTCGTGTTTAAAAATACTCTGGTAAAAGTTGAAGAACTGACTAAACTTCTTATCTTTACTCAAGTAAAGTAAAGAAGTATTGCCTTCAAATGTGCTTAAGTATAAAGTACCCATAACTACCAACAGTTTTATAGAGTAACTGGTAAGTAGACCTCACTTTATATTAATAGTACATTAAAGATATTCTATTTCAAATTGAAATAATGTCATTGTTAGCTAATTACTGTTTCAACACTGAACAACCACCATTTAGAACACAAGCAAAGAAAAACAAAGTGGGGACAGGAAAAAAAAACGCCTGGGCTAAATTATATATTCAAGGGTGATTCTACCTCTTCCTTGGAAACAACACAACATTATTATGGTAATGCTTTTTTTTTTTTAAACTGAATTGATGTGAGTTATATGGTCAACTTTATTTAAAATCAAATAATTAACGACTACAAGTACTGTATTTGTGTTAAATAATCAAATAATTAACGACTACAAGTACTGTATTTTTGTTAAGTATTAGTTAAATTATTAATCTGAAACTGTAGATGAACTCTTAACAAAAGCTGTTGTATGTAATGTAATATGTTTCTAATATACAGTGGTCCTCAATGTAGAATATTTCCAATTTTCAAATGTCGTACAGTAGAAGTATTAAGTGGCATAAAATGGAAATACTCAAGTTCAAGTAGTTCAAAACAGTAACGGCCCGTCCACACAGCAGCGTTAAAAAATCTTGAAACGCTTCTGCCCATTCACTTTGAATGGGGTGACGTCATTTGCCTCACTTTTCGCCGAACTGCATTGTGGGCAGGCGAGCGGAGATTTTCAGGATTTTCAGGATTTTCAGGATTCAAAGTTGAGCAATGTTCAACTTTTGAAGCTGAGGTGGAAGCGTCAGCCAATCAAATCCCGTGTATGCAAATCTGACAGTTCAAGTGCTAGCCAATCAAACCGCGTGTATGCTGGGAGAGACATACCGCAGGTCATTTCCTCATATTCCAAAAAATGGAGGAGAAATTAGCGGTAGGGAATCACCCGGTGCTTTATGACCAGTCCCTATTTACCTACCGGGATATAAACCGGAGGAGCCAGGCATGGAGGGAGGTGGCAGAGACAGTGGTAGGTTTTCGCCTGTTTGGGGAGTTTATATCCAGTTTACTTCAAACTTTTTTGCTTCGTATGTCGGGGGCGGGAGATTCATGTGATTGGTTGTTGGTGCCTTGCTCGCAAAAAATCCCCAAGCTTCAGATACGCCCACCTCCAAGATTTTTTTAACGCTGCTGTGTGGACGGTCCGTTAGGTAGTGTCACACATGCTTAAGAAACTAATGCATGACATGAAAATGTAATGCATGCATTAATGCAGGCGCACAAAGAAACTACTCCTGCAGCAGATGTTGGTGAAAACAAACTCTGCATATGCATCCTTCTGCAAAGGGAAGCTCAAACAACCCCATAAGTGTTTCACAGAACAGACTCAAACCCAGAAAACATGACACACAGTCAGCCATGTAAGAGAAGAAGTTCTTGTCATGCAGGCAAGTTCAGGCAAGGAGAAGAAAAAAGGCCGGAAAGCTAAAGGGCGTTTGCCAGCCAGACAATCTGGCAGAGAGCTAGTGGAAATAAACCGGTACATAAACTTGTTGGCTGAGAGCCAGGGGGAGGAAATGGCGGGAAAGGGGTTACTGCAGGGCAGGAGGGAGTGGCAGGATCTTATGAGAGAGAGTCAGTAACAGAAAAAAGAAACAACAGGAAGGTAACGATCAGGCTGAAGTTGGTACACACAGTGAAGCAAAACACATTTTAGAGTTTAATTTATCCTCAATTTATGAAGGTTCACTCACAATATCTTCCGTACATCATTGTTGGAAAGTTTGTTTATTTAAGTGCTGTGCTTCAATGTTATGCCACTTAATACTTCCACTTCATTACATCTCAGGGGGAATATTGTATGTTTTTAGTATTTTTTTATCAAACTGGCCGTCAAACTCTAACATCTGCACAAACCCAACTGCCTTTGTTTATGTCACATTTACAAGTTAGAGGATTTCACTTCATTACTTAAATGAAACTGATTGGGAGAGAAGTGAACAAAAAGCTGCAAAAAATGTCTTCTCTGCAGAGATATCGCATCAGACCGACGAGAGCTGGCCAAACTCGAAATTACACACATCCTCAACTGTGCCCAGAGCAAGTGGCGAGGCGGTGCCGAGTATTACGCTGGGATGAACATCACTTATCACGGCATCGAGGCTCACGATTCCCCAACCTTCGACATGAGCGTCAACTTCTATCCTGCTGCTGAGTTCATCCACAAAGCCCTCATCAATGGAGGTATTCTGAGAGTGTGTGTTTGTGTGTGAAGTGCATCCTTTGTAAACCTCAACAACATGGAAATATGTGGATTTGTCTGTAGCCAAGATTTCAGAAATGCTAGATCCAGAATCTAAAATTACAATTAAAAACTATATTTTGGTGTTCAAATTACTTAACATTTTACATTTGAAAAACACAAAATGCTCCAAATTGTTTTACAGTTACAGTATATTTTTTGGGCAATGAAAATCACAAGTCCTAGGCTTCTCCAGCAATGCACATTTTACACAGCACTAAATTAAAGCAAATATGTATGGATGGATCTTTGGTCTATAAAACTTAATTCAGACTAGCAATCATTTTTATTTATTTTACTCTTGTCTTCAGCAGACACCACACTGACATATCATCACTTTTTTTTAAGTTGATGCAATGACTAAGTCTCAACGAATTACCTAACAAAATGTATATAAACACATAAGAAACATATGGAACAGATTTAGGGTTTCATGTTGTTTGTGTGTTCAGGTAAGGTGCTGGTCCACTGCACAGTGGGAGTGAGCCGCTCGGCCACTCTGGTGCTGGCGTACCTGATGATCAGACAGAACCTGACGCTGGTGGAGGCCATCAAAACCGTGAAGGACCACCGAGGCGTCATCCCCAACCGAGGGTTCCTCCGCCAGCTCAACGGCCTGGACGGCATCCTGAGAGAGAGCCGTAAGACGTCTCCACAGAGCTGAAAACACACACTCAACTGATATCTGATATTGGTTTCTTCTGATTCATTTGAATTTGTTATTTATTTATTTAAGTGTTTTATATTGTTGTTCATTTGTGTTTGAGCCGCTGAAAAACATCAACACTGACATTTAATGTCTAAGGGAACTCTCAGCGCATTAATGAAGATCTTATTACGTCTACTTAGTCGAGTCAGTTTTATTGATTACAATACAACTTGGCTATAAAGGGTCAAAAGCAGGACAGTTTAGGAACAACTATTCTCTTTTTATACCAGGGTAAAGTCCACTTTAATCAAACTTCAGACAATTCCACTCGAAACTGATGTTCTACTGCCGCTGAACCTTCAAAAATGAAATCATAGCTAAACAGAATACAGGCTTATACACTGCAGGAATCCATAGCAAATCTAATCTCTGGTGCAATTTTTCTTATGTCAAGAAATGTCTTAAAATGTGTTAACAATTATTACTGGAAGAAGATGAAATAATCTCATCTCACTGGTAGATTTTTACAAAAAACAGTCACTTGTACTCATTTTATTACCAAAGTCCAAGCAGTCCAACCAACCACATGTACATTTCAACGATCCCATGTCATTGTAGTAAATATAGACATAATAAAATACATAATTTCATTCACTGGAGACATTGAATAGTGTAGTTAGAAACAGTTTTAGAATAATATATGAGCAATGTTGATGTTTTAATAAGAGAAATTGTAGGTGGTTGTGTCATTTTATAATAATGCAGCAATTTATGTAAATGTTTTGGTAACTGGAAAGGAAGACAACCAATTTAATCATAATGAAGTATTTGCTAAATTATATACCATAGAAAAAAACAACAAGGACAAAATAAATAAACATTAATAGTACTTGTTTTGGTTTTAAAACGAGGCATCATTAATGTGAACTAGATCAATGGGAATCAGAGTATTGCCACTGGCTCTTAGAGCTCCTATTAGAATCATAAAGGTGATATTGTTCTCTCACGCAAGAGAGCTAGTGTGCAGTGCAGTGTTCACACTTAACGTTTATGGTTGTGATTCAGTGTCCCAAACATTTAGTCCCTGGAAATACCACACCTGGTTTTTCAACATATGGGCTTTCCTGTCTTTTGTAATCAAAATGGAGGGTTAAACCTGTGATATCAGCCCTCAGTAAGAAGACTCTTGCTCATTATTCCCCATAGATTAAGTATTTGCAGGTCTTCCCTCTACTTTTTTTACATTCAGCAAGTGTCATTAAGTGCTCTGAACAGCTCACACACTAGCGCAGGTCTATACCAGCAGTTATGTAGCCTGTCGATTATTGTACTACAGTGTTGTCACAATCTGTACACAACTGTTAGCTGTGAGTTTGTGAATAGCGCATACAGTATACTTCAGTATACTATGATTTTCGTTCGAGTTCAATGTATTGTTTCAATCAAATAGTCACAGTCCTTAATATTTGTATTAGATATCTGAAATTCATCCAGTAGAGATGGATGGACATCTACGGGATGGACATTACAGTCTGCAGTCTGGTTTATCACTCCTTAATCACTATAATGGTGAATATTTAATATGCCTGCATTTAGAGGCACTGAGACTTGACGTGCAGTGGGAGAAAATACCACAAATGTGCCATTGCAAAAGCTACCAACTGCCTGGCTGTCAGGAGAGTTCACAGTGTTCAGTGCTGTACGCGAGTCTTACAAAGTCCGCTCTTTTGTCTTGTTATTTAGTGAGGCCTGTGTTCTCATGCTAACGAAAAACAATCGAGGATCCAATGCTGAAATTTAAACCAGCTTTTCAAATACCCTCCAGTGTTTTATTAATGATTACCTCGGGTATCACATGTTTTTTGTGACTTGTGGTCTTCATTTGTGCTGTTTTAAAACCACCATGATGAAATGGGGTAAAGAGTTGTACTTTGCTCAACTCACAGGGAAAAAAACAATGTAAACTAAAAGCTAATTAGTGGATTTGTACAGTCTGTGGGGGTATTAGGGCATAGTTTGAATGTTTTTGAAATAAGCTCATCGGATTTTCCTGCCGATAGTAAAATGAGAAGTTAACTCTGTGCGATAAGTATGGAGCTGGGGCAGGAGGTGATTAGCTTAGCTTAGCATAAAAGCTGGAGGCAGAGGTAAACAGCTAGCCTGGCTGTCTAACATGTTTTTAGATTAATGTTAACGGATTAAACACACAAGACGTTTCATGTAATGGGCCCCTCTGTCTTTCAAAGTCTGTGTTTACAATTAGCAACAAAAGCAGTAATTTTTGATATAACGGGTATTTGATTTCCCACAAAAGTTAAAAATGTAAACAGGTTTGACAGTGTTGTTGGTAAACTAATACTAGCAGATTTTATCAGATGTAGTTGTTAATGCCAACTCTGTAATTTCGCTGATTTTGGTAGCTTTTAAAAAAAAAAATAGCTAGCAGTTTTTATTTCTGTCTCTGGTGCTAAGCTAAGATAATCACCTTCCTATTGACTGCACTATATCCTTAAAGAGTGTTTCGTGTTGTGGCCTTGGAAAGCACTATCGCGATTTCATGGGACAGTTTGCTTGCATTGTGTGTTAGATTAATACCCATTTGCATCGTAGCTGGATTCTTTGGGACCAATATGACCCAAGGGGCCACATCAGACCCCTTTATCCATATTGCATGAAACATATTTTTCATGGGAGCAAATTTGGTATATTTGGATTGATTTGTGAAGGCATGAAGTAACTACCAAAGTCCAGAATATACGTTACATTTGGTGTCAGGAAAAGCAGACTTACTTGTGTAAGACTTTCTGTTAAATACAACGATGTCCTGGTGCAGCTTAAACCGTCTTTTTCCAGAATATTTCCACTCAGTTAATACACAAAATAAACACTTTAGAATAGGTGAACTATCCAAGAATATTCCTCTGGATAGGGCCTTTAACCATTGCGATCTTTACCTTTGCTGTATCGGATCTGTGTTTTGTATTTGTGGTTTTACTGTGTCGTGATTGTAATATTTGTTTTCTTACTGAAACCTTTCTATAGGGAAACTTTAATTATTTTGAATTTATTTTTGTATTACTCCCTTTGAGGTTCATTGAAGACGAAACTGGCAAAGGAGATGTCGATGCCTTAAACTGTACTTCACGTTGGATTTTAATGTTTTTATTGTGAATAACACTGAGCCTACTTTGTTTTGATAAATTCTGTACTGAATCAGAAATAAAAAAAACTTCTCTCAAAGCAGTTGTACTGTATTTTGTATTTGAAAGAGGTATATTTATATTTCTACACCATTACATCAAAGATGCATTTTTAAAACACTGCATTTGTCTGCTTTTGAAGGACTTACATTTATAATATACTTATTCCAGCACTGTTTAATGATATGAGAATCATTTTTCACTGGTTTGAGTTCAAGAGATTCCCCTAAAACTAAGACTTGTTGTCTTAGTTGTGTCTGTGTTAGCTTAGAATGAGCTCTTCACATCTACATACTAGTGTTCCACGTTTTGTTTGTACAGTAGCCCAGAACAGAAAAAACAAACACATAAGGCCTTTTGCGCTCATTGACCCAATTTTAAAATTGTATTTTTAATTCTTATAATGACTTTAGAAGCAATGTCACGACAATGATAAAAGACTAAACCTTATTGTTAGAACACTTGCAATGGAAGATCCCACCCAAATAAAACACTCAAATTCCCCAAAAATTATTAGAACAAAGCATCTTTATGAATGAGATGACAAACACATTCAGCTTTAGGTTGCTTTATTGACACTTTCAGCATCATTTTGAAGTGGATGTTAAAGGGTACATGTGAACTTAAGGAGCTTTGTCAAACGATTATAATTCACCACAGTCTGAAATGACAACCTTCGACGTAGTAGGACCTTTTGCTGAGCCTGCCGCGTTCATTTTCTTGACGACATCGATGCCCTCCACCACCTTTCCAAACACCACGTGCTTCCCGTCCAGCCTGAAAAGGAAAGAGGCAACTCTGAAATAGGATGAAACAAATTGAATAAACCTGAATGCAACAGCACATGGCTCAAAGTGGAGCTTACCAGCTAGTGTCCCCTGTGCAGATGAAGAACTGGGACCCGTTGGTGTTCGGCCCAGCGTTCGCCATGGACAGTGTGCCCATGCCCTGATGCTTCAACTTGAAGTTCTCATCAGCAAACTTCTCCCCGTAGATGGATTTGCCTCCAGTTCCATTGTGTTTGGTAAAGTCCCCACCCTGAGAAAACATTAAAAAGTCTCAGTTGACTCAGTATTTTTGGCAACAGGCATACAAAAATCTATTTGAGGTTCAATCTGAACTTGAACTAAATTATTTCCTTTACTCTACCTGGCACATGAAGTCGTTGATGATTCGGTGAAAACTGGAGTCCTTGTAGCCAAACCCTTTCTCTCCGGTGCACAAAGCACGGAAGTTTTCTGTGAAATAAAAACACTGTTATTTGAATTCCCCCCAAAAATGTGTCACAAATAATCAGCAATATTTATTCTTTTTTGCATCAATCATTTGCAACTACCTCTGCTACAAGTTAGGAGAGGGGCAACCATATAGCCTAGTTTATACATAAAACTGAATCATGGTTGGACAATAGAGTTTTTCCTTTTTTGTTATCCACAAAAGACCAAAAGCCAGCTAAAACGCAATTGGACAACAAACTGAAACAGAAATCTGCCTGGATACAGATTCTGCGTTAATGTGCTTTACATCTGTACTTGTCAGTAGAGTAATAATAGAAACTGTATTTAAGTATCACCTTCTTAAAACTGTTAAAAATTGTGAACCAAGAAACTCAAAAGCAAAACAGGAGAGCATTCAAAAACAAAATCATTAACAAGTAGGAAATAGCACATAAGACGGCAGGAGTAAAAACAATGCATGAACATGCACAGAAATAAAAAATCTGATTGGAAACAGATTGAAAACTGAAGGGGAAAAAAGCCTAAATTGAGTCTTGAGAGTACAATGTACAAGAAACTGGTGAGTTTTTGTTCTTAATGTTCATCAAGTAAGCTTTTCCAAAGGGTTGGAGCTATAACAGAAAAAATACTTGTCATCCTGGGTCATCAAGAATCAATGACAAGGAAATAGCTAACAGGGCCTTAACCAGGAAGAAGCTTAGCGCCAAATCATGCAGGGCCTTGTAAGTCAAGATAACAAATTAAAATGCTAATCAGACAGACATGTTTTAGGCCTCTCAGCCTTCCTACAAAACAGCAACATCGTTTAGTTTCTCTTTGTGGTCGGGACACGGAGGATATTGCAACAGATCACACCACGATGTATTTGAGCCACTATATAGTAGGATACTCTATGCACAAAGCAAAATGTAGGCCATTTTTTTCTGCATCTACTGGGTATATTTAAATAAGGTCTTATCACAAAATCAGTTAAGACAGTTTCTAAGGATTCTTGTGGTAGATTCAAGGTTGTGGTACAGAATAAGCAACACACTGTTGTCATCTGCTTGGTGGAAATTACCAAGAGAACAGTTACTTCCTCCTTCTACTCTTACTTCCTCCTAATCCTCCCTGTGGTAGCACTCATTTGACTCACATGTGGCACTGCAACTGGTTATTCAGGCTCTCAAACCCTCACCTACAGCCCGCCCCATATTATGAATCACTTCTCAGGTGAGGATTGAAAGCCAAATCATAAATCCCTTTGATCATGGGTGTTTCTCATGTCGAGGAAAGCTGCTCCAGAGCCACCATTTCAAGGATACTACGTCATCGAGTGCCGCCGAAGGACTGTTCCAAAATTCTACCGAGGCTGGCGTACTTCGTTGCGGGAAATGTCGAGGCTGCACATGTGTAGACTCCACGGTCTTAAAATCCCCACAATGCTTTGCGCACGGACGAATTTCCAAATCTTTGGCGGAAATCGCGCTCCATTTTAGGCGGGGCCTCGCATATGACGCACACCTGCACACCTGTTAGCCTGTTCCACAATTCTTCGTTTTCCGAGGCTATGAAGGATTCTTGCATCGCTTCTGAAGGACCTGACTCGGAGGGACTTGTTCTACCAAGGAAGCGTCCTCGACATTGAGAAACACCCCGTGTGTGGAAAAAGCCAGAGCAGTAGCTCAGTTATTGCTACATGCAGTACATTTTCAACGCTTTCAAATTCTTCCTTATTGGCAAAGCTTACCTGCAGTCTTTGGGACTACATCATTCCGGAGCTGCAAAACACAGACATTGGAATTTGTAAATCATTCAGAGTTTTGTCAAATGCATCCTAGCTGCTCATTTTAAACCTTAATGAAATCACCATAGTTGAAATAAAGGGATATAACTTAATAGTCTTACCTCCATTACAATCCTGCCAGCAGGAGCTCCATCAAAAGTGATATCAAAGAAAACCTTTCCCATGTTTGCGAACGGCCTTGTGATATGGTTATGATGAAAAAAACATTTCCTGTTCAAGCCTGTATTTATATGAGTCCAGGAACATGTGATGCAAAAGTTGTTACCAGCCAATCACAGCCATGTTCTTTGTGAAGGCTCAAGAATAGGCCAATGGGAATGAAGATGGGTGGGGTTCAGTTAGTAACATTACAACAGGCGGAGCAATGATCAGTTTTTGAAAATCAGCTCTGTGATTCATGCACTCCAGTACAAGCGTGTTATGATCCAAGTCCCCTCAAAAGAAGAAGGTGACATTAAATATATGTTCAGAGGGGGAAGGGGGCTCATCCAAAAGGAAAGTATCTGTCCAGATGTGAAAAAAATGGTTCTAAGGTTAAGTTAACCAAATTATTGACACGGTCAATACATAAATGCATTTTATGGAGTCAAGGCACATTAAAGGCAAGTAGAATTAAAACCATAGCACTCAAGAGTCACAGCTGACACTAATGTATTTCAGCTGCAGTTATATAAACACAGACACCAAAGGCACAAGAAGACTCAAGATCATGTCATAAATCACCTGTGCCACCCCTTGAAAAATCCTGTAGGCCTACTGAAATACACGACACAGTATTTTCTCGGGTTAGGTTTGTTCTGACCTCTAGTGGTAAAATATCTCAACTGCAACATAGAAGGAAGAAACCCTAATGGTTACAGCACTTAGAATTTTGATTGACATGCATCATTTTCAGGAGGTTTTATTGACTCAAATCCTGGATCACGTCAACAACCAGTATTTCCAGTAAGCTAATTACTGCATTAATAATTAATGTAAGACAAACAGAGGTGTAAAGTAAGTAGATTTACTCAAGTATTGTACTTAATTACAATTGTATGCTACCTTGTACTTTTACTCCACCACAATTCAGAGCTAAATCATGTACTTTTTTCCACTGGGTACCTTTAGTTACTTTGCAGATTTGTATTAATGTGAAATATAAACACCTAAATCCGACTTTAGTTACACCCAGAGTAAATTCACAAGCTACCTATAGTATATAAAGTCATTAAAACTAGCTGCTTTGATAACACTTGAATGCATCAATAATTAGAATCCAAACATAATATATATTAAAATGTTCCAATTTGCATAACAAGTACTTACAGTTTTGGTACTTTAAGTATATTTTGATGCCAATACTTGCATTTTTAACTTATTATAAATGCATTATTTTTTACTTGTAACAGGTTTTTTTTTACACTGTAGTAGTTCTTTTAAGTACAATAGCTGGGTACGTCTTCCACCACTGGACAAATATGACATCACTGAGCTGAGTTAATGGGCAAATATTTCGACACAAATAGACAACACCGCATTTATGTATTGCATTACAAACTAGAAAATGCATTTCCTGCTGAACATGTGTGTGAATGCTGTAAGCTGTGTTAATTTGTTGCTGAATTGATGCAGAAAAAGGTGAATATGTTAATAGTTGAATGGTCTCTGTAGCTGCTTTTAGCTACAGAGACCAAGTAAGTGTGTTGCTGAACTTAGCGGAAAAATGAAGAAAAGTGAAATGATTTGAATCAAAATTGTTACAGCTCAAATGCATTGCACTGACTTTGATGAACACTTGAAAGTGAAATGTTCAACTGGAAGAGTAGGAAAAATAGTGATGAAGCTTAATATTTCAAAGAAAAGTTAAAAAAGGTATAAACAACACAATGTATAGCCTCAATGTCCTGAAATAGCTGAATCATTTAACAGTTGAATGGTTTCTGTAGCTGAAAGTAGGCTGAAGTAGTTAGATATCAGATGTACATTGTAGTATACTGTGAGTACAAGTAGTAGTAGTAGTAGTAGTAGTAGTAG